TAAAGTATGTTACTGATAATGCATAGTACTGAACAATGTGAGTGTCCCTTTTACAAAGCAAAATAGAAACCAGAAGTACAAAGACTACTTTGACAAACTACTCTTTCCTCTCACTAAATAAGAACCTTATAAAATTACTGTTGGTTTCGTAGGATTTTAAGTGGGGTATCATCTAATTAGAAAATATATCACTTTTAATAAAATATTGCTATATCCTCTTCCACTGAGAACGTATTAAAAGACATCTCTCACCCCCACCCCCCCAAATAGGTCTTGCAACATTTCCTGAAGGTTGTGAATCTGTTGTATGTACAATGAGTGCAGAATAGAGGGTTTCTCCTTGTGAGTACATCAGGGTTACTGGCAATCAGCAGTTCAGAGAATAAAACTGTTGCTTCACACAAAGTAATGAAAGACGAAAACATAAGCTTTTCATATAGCTCCGTTTGAAGTAAGTAGCTTGACACTAAGTTTTGCCCCTTTAAAACTGACTTTCAGTTTAAGTTTTAGCTCTCAAGTGGGGAAGGATAAAAAGGCCCTTGGAAATGACCTTGACCATATTTCACCAGAAGTCACTTATCAAAATTAGTCTGCACAGAATATAAAGCAATGAAAAAGCTAGCCAATACAGGTTTTCCTTAAGCACACACAACTAGTTCAAAATCCCTTTCAATTACACAATGAAAAAAATAGCAATTAATTTTAAGAAACATTCAGTAGCTCTAGAATAATAAATACTTCACACATGCAGAGAAACCTTCATTCTTTTCAAAATGAAATAGGAACTCGAACCATACAGGCAGATGTGATTGTCAAGTTCCATGAATAAACAGTCTCAGATAGCTGTTTTTCTACACAGCTTTCCAAAAAAGAAGTTACCTTCTCCCCACAGTGTCCAATGCCATAGTTTCCCAAATGCTGAAATTCAACATGAAGACCAATTGAAAGTAAACTACCTAATTTACCAATAAGCCTATCAAAACGATGACATCATTTTGATATATTAACCTGAAATCATCACCAGGCACAAAAAGTTAAAATAAGCTTAGTTCAGATTTAGTGAAGAACTTAATAATAATGATAATAAACCCATCAATAAACCTCAAACACGATACCACAGAAAACCATCTAAAAGTAATACAAATCCAGTTGATCAAATAGTAATCTAACCTGGCATTACACCCAAAACACAGATACGTTTAATATTTTAACACAGATTCTCTGAGCTTTTCAGAAGTTGCCAGGAAACTAGAAGTAGAACGAGGGGTGGGTGGGTAAAAAAACCAACCTCAGCAGGAAAGACTATGTTCTTTAAATCAATGTACTCTTGGTCTTCACATCCAGTGAAGATATTGAAACTGAAGCTAATTTTGATGTTTCATAAAGAAATTCATGCTCTGAATATATTACATAATAATTAGAAATTTTGCACCATGGGCCTAGTGAAATGAGTCCTTAGCTTGGTCAGTTATCTGTTCATGCCCTTGTGTGTAGAATATGCCAGAGAAATAATGCAGCTTCTCAGCATGGGAGATATTGCTTTCTGTTTTGGGTCCTAGCATGACAGAACCATGATGTTTTAGATGCCTTGGGTTCTTAGGATCGAAATTTACTATATGAATTCTTTTTTCCTTAGTACCCAGAAAAGCAAATGCTTCACTCAAAGACAACTCTGATCTCAACAAATGAAGTTGGGTTTTCTTCACCCCAACTTGATCAAAATGGTAAATTCAAAGGTACATAAAATTATTTAAAAATAGCAATATTGTCATCTCAAGGGACCCATGAATAAGCTGAGCTTTCATTCTAAATAAAATGCCTTATTACTATCAGCAGATTATAAAAGAATACATAAGCTTTAGATCTCAGGAATCCTAGCCACAATTTCAAGAAAGGTTTTTTATCAACACAGGGGACCCAGAAAAGGTGCATTTGCATGGGTCTCAGAGTATGTTTTCTTCTATATAAAAGAGGGTCTAACTAGTTGAGTTAATTTAGTTTGTTTTGTTCTTCAGTCCTGAACAAGCTACACTGTTTTACGCAGTTCTTCCAACATCAGCTAAGTTTACATTAAGACAAAGTTTAACAGTATTATTGCAAACGTACTCTTTGCACATAGGTAACTCACTGCACTATGATGTGGCAACCACATAGCAGAAGGAAGCTTCCTTAAATAACAATATTTCCCCCCTGTAAAATGTATGTGTCTCATAGCATGATTGAACTAGATATCCCCACCTGAGTCTGGAGTTCAGAGCTCCTCAAGATGAAAATACATGTACTGAAACTGCAATCTACTATACCACAGAGTCCTCCACCCTCCATTTAAGCTGCCATTATATTAGTTCATTTTTCCATGGCTTAGCAGAAATTGTACAACTATAAACTGTTTTCTTTCTCAATTGCTGGTTTGCTTTTACTTGCTGGCCCTTCAGTTTTTCTACTGAACTGCAACTGAAAACTTAGAGGGAAAAGAGCAAAACAAATGTAAGTAACATGGTAACTACTAAGAACCCTCCAAAGAACTTCCATGATATGAATGCATTAAAGAACTATTGTATATTAATTTTTAAATAATATTTAAAGCAGATGCTGGCAGCAAGAGTTACAGAGTGAGTCCTATTTTTAAGAAAAGAGTTAGAGTTCAATTTGCATGCATTATGCTGGCTATTTTAAATAATTTTATTCCATGTGTATATCAGAAACTGCCCTCCCCCTCCCTAATTGACAAGATGCCACTTCAAGTAAGACCAAAGAGAGCGCTCGTTTTGGGGTTAGAAATTGCTATACAAGTCTCACAATTTTAAATAAAGCAATCCCAGCAATCTCTCTCGTTCTCCATAGCCCTAAATTTATTATTAAGTAAATCTAGAGATAGCTCAATCACTGGAGAATAGGACAGTAAGTGATGCACTAAACCACTTAAATGTTTATCATTTTTGTAAGCAACATGAGTAGTGGTGTCTATTATTGCTTCCTGCAAATCTGCAGCAATGTGATGCAAAACAGCATTTTAAGAAATTCTCTTTTGGAATGCAAATGATTCTTCCTGCAATTTTGAATATTTTAGCCAGTAGCCATGCACCATACAGTAGTTCTGGAATCACTGGCATCTGTCATGCTGTCAAAACTGAGTCAAAATGCATTGTAATCCTGGAGAACGATAACCTTAAACATCAATGCAACGTTAAAATGCATCCTAAAAAAAAAATCCCTATAATTGCGATGAACATTAGAGAGAAACCGGCAGTCCTTCTGCAGGGAGGTAATCCTGGAGAACGATAACCTTAAACATCAATGCAACGTTAAAATGCATCCTAAAAAAAATCCCTATAATTGCGATGAACATTAGAGAGAAACCGGCAGTCCTTCTGCAGGGAAATAACAGTCTTCTCTACCAATCTTTCCCCTCCCCCCTGAAACTCATGCAACTAATGATGACCTCCCGAAGTGCGGAATTTAAATGTTCCAGCATTCATCTGAGGATGAAGGAGGAAAAAAAAAAATACATCGAAAACCATGAAACAAGTTGCAAACTGCACAAACGCAAGGAGAGAGAGAAAGAGAACTGCAGCTGATTCAGGAGCGATTGCAGAATGAGAAGCAATGAAAGGAAACAAGGAAGAAAGAAAAGGAGGGGGGAGCCTTAAGCATTAAAGAGTAAGAAGTGAAAAACATTTACCAGCAGCTCGGTCAGTAGCTTCGCTCCCTGACACCATCTACACAGAGAGAGAACTTAGCCTAGAGTCTTCGGTCCCAGCTCGCTTTGGAGCAAAATTCCTTCACTTCGAGGGGGCAACACGCACCCTCAAGAAAGAGAGAGAGAGGGAAAGAAGGGGAAAAAATAATCCCAAATACCAAGACAGGCTTTCCTCCTCCTCCCTCTTACCCGCCCCCCGGACTCCCCAAACGGTGCTCTCTTCTGCACAGTTCTGCCGGCTGTGCTGCTGAGCTGCTGCCGCCGCTGCTGATGTTGCCGCGGCTGCTGGTGCTGCTGCTGCTGCTGCTGCTGCTGCTACTTCGGAAACGATTAGGAGGAGGACGCCCAAGCACGACCTGAGCCTGCGAGCCACCCAGGACCAATGTGCAACCTGCTCTGGAATCAAACCCATAACACACGCACGCACACCCAGTGGCTCCTGCACGCGAGCCCCCGCGCGCACACACGCGCCCGCCCGCGCGCCGCACAGACACACACACATGCACACACGCGCGCGCGCGCACACACTCACATATAAACACACGCGCGCGCACACACACACACACACACACACACACACGGAGCGCCGCGCGCCGCCCGCCCGCCTGCCAGCGCGGCCCCTGAATGGGGAGTGCGAACCAATCCCCGGGCCCCGAGTGCGCGCACAGGCCCCGGCCGCCGAGGCTGGGTGGTGGCGCTGGGGCTGCAGCTGCTGTGGCTGCGGGGTACCGAGCCAGGGAGGGGCTCACGGTCGCGAAAGAGGGGCGCTAGGGGCACGTGCACCCCTTTGTCTGCAGAGAGAACCCCAGCCGGGCGTTTTCAAGACCACTGAGTGCGCAAACCCCAGGCGATGTAGAGTTCAATGCCGCTCTGGGGTTCGCCGGGGAGGCTCGGCGCCCTGGCTGCACGAACCGAGGGTTCAGCTCTGCGAAACATCATGCACCGCAGCTGCACTCGGGTTTCTGCACACGGGGGAGCACAGCAAGCGGACGCCTCCTGCGGACGACCCGAGCCTGCCCTGGCTCGCGAGCATGCCCAGTGCTCGGCTGTATACCCAGATCGCTCCTTCGGGGGTTAGGAACTTAGAGTCGGGCAGAGCCGGGCAGTGGAATGCTCTGTAGCTTCCACAGGGAAGGGAGAGGTTTCAGAGCCTGCAGCCACTGCTGACCTGTGTCACCTACTTTCCAGTGGCCCTGAACGTGCACCGGAGGGCGCGGTGATGAGAGAACTAGGCTTCTGGACCTGAGAGAGGAGTTGCTTTTCTATCTTTCATAAAGGGAATTCCAAACGAAAGCAATTTTCGGCCCAGGAAAGGCTGATTCAGTTACAGGGTAATTGACAGAAAATCCAGCAGGACCTGGCGGTTGTAATAGTAACAGCTAAACACGCATTGCTTGCTTACCATGTGCAGCCTCTGTGGTATGTGATGCCCATGAATGATCCGATCTTTTCCTGTCCAAACACTGTATGATCAATCCTTGAAGGAAACCAAGGCCCCAGAATATGTTTCCAACTGCCAGTCGGTTATAACTAATGTACCCAGGAATCTAAATCTTGTGGTCTGACTCTTACCCACTGGAGATACACTGCAGTGCACTGATGAAGCCTAGGCATTTACAGCAAGGTGAGAATTTGGTGGGTGTTTGGGTAACTGCCTTCAAACTGTAGCTGGCTTGTCTCAAACAACCTAGAAACCTTGAAAAACTGCATGCCTGAAATTTGCCAATGTCATGATAGTACTAATATTAATAATACTTATCTCTTGACTACATACCCTGGATCACTCTTTTATTAGGTGCAGTGTCTTAAACTTTAACCCTCCGGAGAAGCTATCCTTGCTCCCATTATATACTTGAGGAGACTGAAACTGAAATGTGGTGCTACTTCCCCAAGGGGACAGTGCCTGAATGAGGGTGTGGTTTGTCCCACTTCAAAGTCCATGCTGTCTTTACTAAAACATGTATCTTCCTTAATTGCATCCTGATCCAAGCAATGAGATGAGAGCATAGCAATTATTTTTTATTTCATAAAACAAACACATTGATTTTCTATTAACATTCACTCATTCAACAATATTTACTTAGCATTTACTTCCTTCAAGGTACTGTTTTAAAGGTAACAGAAGATGACAAAGACACCAGGCCTACACTCTGAGTTTACATTCTAGCAAGAAGTGGATCATATACTTATGATGCGAATGAGGAACATTTACTGAGAACTTGCCAGAATGCATTTTTCTCCCCTATTAATCCAGCAAACTGTTATTTATCCTTCATCTCTCTGTTCTAGCATCGCTTCTTCAGGGAAGCCATCTGTGATCTCTCTGACTGGATCAAATCTCCCTTATTATAGGCTTTCAAGTCATCATGTAACTTCTTTTTAAAGTGTGTTGTAGCTACAATTTTCCTTTTGAGCTATAATTTAGCTAATATATGTCTCCCAAACACATACAAACCCTCTTAGATGGTAAGCTCCATGGGGGCAGGAATGTATCTATGTTTATTTCCCATTTATTCCACAGTATCTGGCAGATGATAAACTTGTTCTCATTCTGTGTCTTTCTCTCTCTTTCACACACACACACACACACACACACGAACTACTCTTGAAATAGGAATAACTCCTAGAGTAGGAACTATTTTTATTCCATTTAACTGATTGCTAAAATGAGGCTGAGGGAAGTTAAGTAGCTTGTCCAAGGTCACATATTTGGTTAAGTGGAAGAGAAGGACTTAAACTCAAGTTTGTCTGGTGCTAAAGTCCACATGACTAACCTTCAGGCTATGCTGCCTCTGTCATGTTGCAGTGGCTAATCAGACTACATGAAAGGGGCTCATGGGAAGTAAAGTAGAGAGGTGCTAGAGAAGGCTTTATGGGGAATACAGAGACAATCCAATATAGTAGAAATTTAAAAGGCATGCAATAGGATATTAGTAATCTATTACTGAGTACCTACCATATGCTAAGAACCCTGCTCAGAGCTTCTCTCATTTGAACTTTAACAACAATTCCTCTGGCTAAATGCTGTTACTCCCATTTCACAGATGAGGAAACTGAGGCTTCCCAACAAACTGAGACCCAGCAGACTGCAAACTCAAGGGGGATAGTGATATGTCTATTTTTATTTTCCATTTTACCCCATCGTATCTGGCAGACAGACACTCTCTGTCCCCCTCTCTCTCCCTTTCTTTCACACACACACACACACACACACACACACACACACACACACACACACACAC